TTTTTTTTTTTGTATTTTTGGTATTTAGTGAATTTTTAAAAGATTTTTTTTACAATTTTTTTACTTTTTAGGTGTATTTATGTTAGGTGTGTCTAAAAAGTAAAAAAATTGCATAAAATATTAAAAAATTCAGTAAAAACAAAAAAAAACAGGAAAAATAAGAGTGTAGAATTTTCTGAAAATTGTTTTTAAAAAATGGGAACCAAGCAAAGTGTGTTTAGGATGATTTTTTAATTTTTTAAGAAAAGATGTACAAAGTAGAGAGAAAATGAAATCTTTAACTTTTTTATATAAGTTATTGGCCTTTTTTATTTTTTTAGTGACTTTTTAATTTTTTTAACTAAAATCACCACTTACCAAACGATACCTATCATGTTAAAATTTAGCATAATGTTCCTATACTGTCAAATTTGATACGATAAATAGCATCCTATTAAATTTGGCATGTTGAATAGCACATGGTGTTTGGGAAGAAAAAAAAAAGTCAAATTTAGGCTAAAAATCACAAAAAGACAAAATAGGCTAAAATAGCTAATAAGACAAAATATCACATCAAATCCATAATCATTTCACTTTTTCTCTCACAAACATCACATCCAACCACAAAAAAATCCAATCATCTTCCCAAACACAAAAATTTTAGCCTACTTAAAATAGCCAAAAACTAAAATAGCCTACTAAAATAGTCATTTCCCAAACGAGACCTTGTTAGAGTGTGATTTTTGTACATATCAGGCTAAATTTTAGCAATGGCATGATGTGTAGCAAGCTATTGAAATTTCTCTAATATCACACAATATTTTAAAATTATATAATAATTTTTTAAAAGGGCTTTTTTCAAGTTGATATCTCAACTTGACAATGCTATTTGGGTCCATGTGGCCTATCACGAGTCATATTTCGATGACCTAGTAGTTCATTTTATTGGGCACATTCATAAAAAAAATTGGTCAATTCAATAGATGTAGCATCTTCATTTTAAGGCGTCAGCCTCTGAAAAAATAAACGATAAGTGTGTTTCTTAAAATAGACCATCTATTTTTTTATTAACGAATGCAATAAAATAAAATGAAAATTATCAGCTTATTTGGTTTGGATTTTCAGGATTCACTTTTCAAAAAATTAAATTTTTTTGTTTTCGTATATTTTTTGTTTTCACTGAATTTTTTAATATTCTAAGTAATTTTTTAAATTTTTAGATACACCTAACATAAATATACTTAAAAAGTATAATATTTGTGAAAAAAAATCTTGAGAAAATTCATTAAATACTAAAAATATAAAAAATAAAAAATAAATGAGAATTCAGTACATTTTTCATATTCTTGTGTATTTATTGATTTTTTAAAAAAATATTTTACTTTTTAAATACATCTAAGTAAGGTGCATCTAAGAAAAAAATTGCTTAAAATTTTAAAAATATTCACTACAAATATTTTATAAAAAAAAATAAAAAACAAAAAATTTAATTTCCAGAAAATTAAACCCAAAAAATTTAAACCAAACACACTATATGATTTTCTCATTAATTAAATTTTTTCATTAATGATATACATAAAACCTTACAAAATTAAAAATCTCACAAACAATTTAATTGAGATTCTAAACTTGATAAAAGCAATCCCTATTTAAAAATGTAGAATGTGGCATTGTGCTTTTTGTTTTATTGTATTTATTTTTTAAAAAAAGCAATGCACCATCCCCCATTTCTCCCACCCCAAACCCCCTCAATAATGTGACAAACAATTTCAAAAATAGATAAAAGAATTTTAAAAAAATTAATTGATTAGTATGGTTTGACACATCAGACAATAACAAGGACATAACACCACACCACACCAAGACCAAAACAAAACAAAACAAAATAAAACAAAACAAAAAAATATAAATACAAAAGCACTACCTTTAAAGGTGAATATTATTAGTAAAATAATTTGTTCATCGAATTTATTATTGTTTGAATCGTCGAATTTATGCTAGCCGAACAACTAGTTTCACTCTCGTCTACTACGATCATCACCCTATCAACCAACTGACCGATTGATTTGCCAGACGACTACTGACATAAATAAATTTGAATAATTCAAAACACATCAAATTCGATGCGACATTGCTCATATTGTTATTACTACAACTTCTTGTGATGTAGAGTTTGATACAAAAACCCCAGTTTGATCCAGAAATCAATGCACATGATCCAAGCACCTGACGTAGAGTTTGATACAAAAGTTTGATCTAGAAATCAATGCACATGATCCAAGCACCCACGCTTCTATCACCAATTCAACTGTGCTATCAATGGATACAATTTTTAAAAAAATAAGACGCATATATAAGATAACAAATTAACAATTGTGATAGACATCTCCACGTATACATGATTCTCATAACCCTCACTCTCATTTCAACCACTCATAATGTGAGACCCACACATACATCAAGAACCAAGATTAAATTGGGGTCATGGAATCCCAAAAAAACGGGTCCCAAACATTTCTGAGAAGATAAAAAATGCTTGAGATCCCATTTTTTTAAGATTTTCATAATTCTCTTTGGATCTCCACAATTGATGTAGGTATGGGACCCACTCATGTATGTGTGGCGCTCACACCATCAATAGTGGAGATTCAAAGAGGATTGTGGAGTCACCAAAAAATAGAGATCTCAATCATTGTTAAAAAGATAAATTTCAAATGTCAAATTCATTATAAATGAAATTCATCATTTATTTCATATCTCTCTCATTTTATAAAATTCTCTATACACTTAATTTACTCTTATTGATCCAATCCAATCATAGAAGGTTGCTGCAAAACCCCAACTTTCTACATATCACTTTCACTTCTCCTGTTTAAGTTTTATCTGCAAATAATCTAATTTTTTATTTTATATTTTGTTTTATACTTTCACTTCTCCGGTAAGTTTTTTCTGCAAGTCATCTAATTTTTTATTTTCATTTTTTATTCAAAGCTTCTTGTTTTAAACGTTCAGAGCTTTATCCGACATTTTAGGCATCTGTCATTTTCATCCCAACTATACGAACCCAATAAGAATTCATAAATTTAATTCTAACCAATTAATATTATCACTACACTTGCGTACAAACAAAAAATAGGACATTTAATCTCAACTAACTAATACTATCATACTATTATAAAAATAAACACAATCTATATAACTGCGTTTAACTTTTCTCAAAAAATAAAAATAAAAATAAAAATAAAAACAAAATAAAAAATACACACAATCTATTTTACATTTCTAACTCGATATCATCAAATCTCCTCATTCAATCTTATTACACTAAAAATCTCATCCAATCTAATCCAACAAACAATGCAGCCGAAGAGTCCCATAAGATTATAAATACACTCTAGTGAAGGGACTAGCAATCCCCCGAGGGAGTGGGATTACAAACCCATCCCATGAGATTGGTGGTGAAATAACTATTTTGTCTTTCACTTTACAGAAACAACAAAGTCACTTCTACATAATAAAAGCTTTTACGTAATTTTATATATTTAATTACAACTAACTAATACTATCAATACTACTAGACAAACAAACACAATTTATAACCTCATCCAGCAAATAACCATGGCATTAAGGTAACTTCAAGGAGTGGAAAATGATAACACAAAAAGCAAGTCTCTAGCTAGTTACTAATCTTTCAATATAAACATTACTGCTGAAACTTTAGAAGTCCATAAATTTGAGATACAGGCAGCACCAGCCCTATCTGCACTGCAAGCTTGCAGTTCTGATATCTGAAAAGCAAAAACACCCAATAACCCCACAACCATCAACCGGTGATCGGTCAATCATTTAGATTTCTTTCCCTGTTTCTTCTTTATAACTTCATCAATATACATTATACCCTTGCCTTTGTAGACTTCCGGAGGCTTACAACTTCGAACAGCAGCAGCAAACTGGTGCACCCTTTGCTTGTCTATTCCGGTGCAGCAAACTATATTGGGTTTGAAGCAAAATACACGAACAGCAGGTGGGACCGTCAATTCAACCTCGTGGCTGTAACCTAGTTTCAGGTACAAGAGGCGGCCTTCCAATTCAGCTCTGGCTTTAAAACCAACACCCACAATCTTCAGAAAACGAAAGAACTTGGCTTCCATTTAGGGATCTCTTATGCTGCCCACTAGCAAGACGCTGAAAGCAGAAACTTAACAATCTTAAAAAGGACAACACGAGGGAAGCTATACAATAATTAATTATTTAACAAAATGCATACACGTAAGATCAACATATAACGCATAAAACATCAATATATAAGGTTATAATACATAAGTATAGAGAACTATCTAAGATATCAAGATTTTGTTGCTTTCTTGATTACCTGTTTCTCTTTTTCATTACCCAACAGACCCCATAAATTTTTATTTTAACAAAGCTATATGAGAACTACAATATATGCATGTTAGGGAAAAAGAAAGCTGGGATAAACAAACCAATAAGTTTAAGGAAAGCCCTTCTTTTGGAGATCAACAAATCATGAATTCTGTTTCCCATGTCTAGTGACTTAACCAGCATCATAACAAAGAAATGAACAAGTAGTCATCATCTTTTGATTACCTATGGCCCTTACTGACAGGAACATCACACAAATGCTTACTGTGAAAATGCATAAGCATGTGTTATTAGGTTTGTGTTTACACAAGTATCAAGAATTTCAGATGTTGCACTGTATTTCTAAACTGCGGAAATTTAAGTAAGGAAATTAGAGACTTTTTTATTTATTTAGTTATTTATTTTTGTGTGTGTGTGTGGAGGGGGAAGAAAAATTATGCTATACAGTTTCAAATAACCGACAGAGTGTGCAATCTTTGCTGAACACCCTCCTTAAAAATCAGAACCAATGTTTTTAAAGGCGAATGCGTAATGCGAGGCATTTTACCCCTCATGAGGCGAGGCATAAGCCTTAAGGGGTCGAGGCGTAAGCATTTCAAATTTTGATTTTTTATATTTAGTAATTAAATTATATACTTTAAAAAGCAAAAAAAATTAAATATGAAGGTGTAAATATTTTTTTCCTCAAGGCATAGAACATTTACTGCAGAAAAGAAAGCCTGCCCTCATCGAAAGTGTAATCATCATTCTTAGTTTCAATTATCAAGCTTCTCACTTAAGTCTTAACTATTGTTTTTTCTGGATTGGTCATTTTACTTAATTTTTGTATGGAATATAAATGCAAAAGAGGATATGCTTACTTCTCATATGTTTATATGCAAAAAGCGTTCAAGGTGCACCTAAAGCACACATCTTTGACTGTGATGCGCAAGCTATTCTGGAGTATCGCCTAAAAATCTAAGACTTGGTGTATTTTGCCTTAGCCTAGCCTTGAAGCAAGCATTGAGGCGAATCTTAGTAAAGCTTTTTAAAACTTTGATCATAACTGCCAGTCTGCCACAACAATAATGTACCATCCACTCTCCTGTAGAGGTTTTGGCCTGAAAGTAATCATAATAGAGACATTTGACTGAATTTGCGTAAATGTTAACTACTCCACTGAAAGAAGCCTTGAATCCGATCCACTTGGGAGTTGGGATGCTTACTAAAATCCTTTTTTCACTGTTCTGCCGTGTAAAGCCATATCATTTGCTAAATCCAGGCCATCTGGTCTTTTGTCAAAGACAAAATTTGTTTTCTCTGGTCTACCTTGTCATTATCATTATATAGTTCCTTCATTGATTCAAACTCATTTGGTTTGATGTTTAAAAAATTTTACCCATAAATCCATTGATAAAGAATTTTACGAAGCCCTGCCAGCTTTCTGTGGAAGCTCTCAGCAACAACAACAATAATACAGAACTTGTAACGAGAAATTTCAATATCCATTATTCATCTGCGAATATCTAATATCCTCTTATTTAACTAAACAAATAACAATAGAAGAACCTCCCTTCTTTAGTTTTCTAATATACACAACATAATTGTTTTCGTGGTAAATCAATGTATCCATAAAGAAAGCAACACTTATAGTGTAAATAACAATACAAGGATTGTGGACCAAGATAAAAATCAGTCAACATGAAATAAAAAGAATATAGTGCTGCACTGTCTTAAGATAAAAAAAATTTAGTTCAAGCTACAAGAGAAGAACTTCAGTGAGTGCCTCAAGAAATACTTAAGGCTATATTGCATTCACATTTAACCACATTTTCCATTTTCCTTTCTAAATCTCTACCCAAATGCATGAATATATGTAAAAACTGCAAACAGTCATACAGTTAATTGATCTTTTGAAAACCCAAGCAGAATTAACAATTATTCAATCCAATGGAACTCTCTGTGTTTGTATTTTAAATATAGATGTCACATTTATACAAGTGGGTGGCAAAAGAGAAGAGAATTTTTTTTAAGAAAAAAAAAAAAAAAATTTTTTTAAGAAAAAGCTTCTGTTTCATACACTTTTCCCTCAGAAAATTCCTACATAAATCAAAGAGCCAAAACATACTCTCAATGATCAAATTATCTTCAAACTGACCCCAAACACCCAAAAGGGAACCAAATGCAGAAACCCACATAATTTTCTTTTGAAAACAACTGCTTTTTCTTTTGAATCCCAGAGAAACCTAAAATGAACAAGAAATTTTAAAATCTATCTTTCTCTGTTTTCATTTCCAAAAAACAGCACTTGAACGTCCACCTACCTATTTCCTCGAGTTTCTCAGTAACCAAACAGAATCTTACTATGCATTAAAAGAGATAAATAAGCAAATAAAAGTGACCAGAAAACCCTGAAAGCAGTACAACAGTATCCTCGGAAATACAAGTATGAAAATCCCAAAAATCTAATCGCATAGAGGGTTGATTTCAGAGAGTAAAAGGGTAAGTAAAATAACAAAAATTAGGAAGAAAACGAAATACCTTCAAAAGATCGAAGAAGACGCGAGACTCCGAATGAATATGTCTTTTCTCGGCTAATCCTCCAAACGTACGATAAAATTTACGCCAAACATAAATGTTGGGATGAAATGAAACCAGACTCTACCAATCGCTCATCAACACTCTGATGATTTGTACACAGGTTTAATCCGGTTTGGGAGTAGACCAGGAAACTAGTGTTTCAAAATTAATATCCCCAAATATGTTCTTTAATTTTTTATTTTTTCTCATTTTGACTCCTAGTATTTAAATAAATTATACAAACTTCCTGTTTAATAAAAAATAATAATACATAATTCTATAATTTTAACATAAGTATATTGACTTTCTTTTAAAAAAATTCATATAACATTTAGCTTATTTTTTATTAATAATTTGTTAGCCATATAAATGAAAGAATGACATCACTTTTTGATATAAAATGAGCAAACGAAAGAATTCTTGAAATAACTGGACTGACAAAAAGCAAGGAATAAGCCAAATTGAGGATACAGCTCCGATTTGTAGCTCGAATAGAGCCCCCCCGAATCCCCCGAATTTGGAAAAGGTGAGTTTTGAATGTTTGGCTCAGTTACAACAACATTGGAGAGGAGAGGAACCACGCGCGAGAAATAGAAGAAGAAAAGAGAGGAGAGGAGAGGAACCAGTTGAAGAAGAATAGGCAAGAGCGACCATCGCAGAGGTCGACCGGTGCTGACACTACCGACCTGGGTGACCATCGACGACCAGCGAAAAACTTTGCCCACCGTCAGTGCTGTTCGTCGACCAGCAAAAAACTTTGCCCACCTGGTGCGTTTTTTGTGTTTTTTTTCTTCTGATAAATTTATATTTTTTTGTTGGAAGATTGGTTACTCACCTGAATCTAAATTTGAATATGGTCCGTCAATCTGGTGCGAAATACCACTCCGTTAATATTTCACTCACCTGAATCTGGTCCGTCAAGTTATAAATTTTTTTGTTTTTTACTTACCTGAATCTGAATGTGGGGGATTAGAAGAATGGTTATCCATGTTTGGGTCTATGTGGGTAAATGATTTCAATTAAAAAATATGTTTGGGGGTCTATGTTTGCTCTTGTTGAAGTGAAATCTAAATTTGCTGAATCTGTGTTTATACTGTGGTTGGTTAATCTCTTAATCTCTTAATCTCTTAAATTTGTAGTCTCTAACCTGTGGTTGGTTAATCTCTGTGATGTCTCTAATCTGTGTGTATACAATCATGTTTAGATTTCACAAATCATGTTCTGTGGTGTTTTGGTTAATCTCTTAATCTGTGTGTATACAATCATGTTTTGGTTGGTTAATTGTTGAATCTGTCTGAATCTCTGAGTCTTGTTTAACATCCACTTGAACCTTATTTATATGAATATGTGAATCTCTGAATCTTTGATGTCTGAATCTGAATGTAAGTGGTGTTTAACATCACTGAATCTGAATCTGTGAATCTGTGATGTCTCTAACCTTATTTATGATTTGTTATGCATTTCATTCTGCTGATTTTATACAAATTACAGTAGAGTGTTCCACACAATGGACATTGATTCAAACAATCCTACATTGAGTGAAGGTGAGGAAGTTGAGAAAGCAGAGAACAATCCTTCATTAAATGAGAGTCGTGAAATTGAAGAACCTAAGAAGGGGATGTGTTTTATTTCAAAGCAAGAAGTGCATGAGTTTTATGCAAAATATGCTAAAAATGTTGGATTTGCAATAGCTTACAGAACACTGAATGTTGGAGTGGATGGAAAGGTGAAATACTTTGGAATTGAATGTACTCGAGTGCAGAAGAGGACAAAAAGATCAGAAGTAAACCCCTTGAAACCATCGTTGTCATCAAAAATTGATTGTAAAGCTAAGGTAAGAGCGACTTTACAACCGGATGGAAGATATAAGTTAACTACAGTTGTGCTTGAGCATGCGCATGATTTAATTCCTAGCGACTCACGCCATTTTCCAATGAATAAGAGGATTCGTACTCCTGTGAAGAGAAGATTAGAAATAAACGATGAAGGCGGAATAGAGGTGTCTAGGAATTTTGATTCTATAGTTGTTGAAGCGGGGGGATATGAGGCATTAACATTTGATGAACGAGATGCAAGGAACCATATTCAAAATGCTAGAAGATTGAGGCTTGGGGTAGGAGACACCGAATCAGTTGCATTCTATTTTCATAGAATGCAACAAGAAAATTCAAACTTCTATTCTGCAATTGATTTTGATGTAGATTGTCGCATATGAAACTTGTTTTGGGCAGACGCAACGTGTA